AATGCAGAACCCATTTTATTAACAGTAATTTATTGCAAAAATTACTGAATAATAATGAAAAAATACCAACAATTAATTAAAAATAAGAAATTTAAATATAAAAATATTAAATGATAGTTTTAATAATATTATTAGATAACTTTGTATTAATGCATTTTTAATTAATTAATGTTTTTTATGAGTTGAGACCTTTATTGTGCATAATGAACTCATTAAAAATGATAAAAATTAATGAAAATTTAAAATGTAGAACCTATTTTATTAACAGTATTTTATTAAAAAAATGAAACAATACCAACAATTAATTAAAAATCTGGAAAATTATGAAAAACCTAAACATAATTAAATACTAAAAATAATTAAAAATATTGAAAAGTAACAATATTTTATATTAATAAGGATATTTACTGAAAATAATTAAAAGTATAATTAATAGTATTTTATTATTAAAAAATACCAAAAATTATAAAAAAATACCCATGCTAGAAATTATTGGAAAATATTGAAAATTAGCTGTATTTTTTATTAACTATGGTATTTATTTAGCTATTTAATTTATTTTTACTGAAAGCAAATGCAAATTAATTTTGTAGTAACTAATATGCAAAAATTACAGAATAATAATGAAAAAACAATGTATTTTAATTATTAATAGTAATATAATTAACAATAATTATTTTTAAATTATAATTAACAACAATTATAATTTAAGCTATAAATAGTAGAAAATTACTCTTAATTAACAAAAAGTTATTTAATTATATTTAATTACTAGATAATTACACTTAATTATTTTTAGCCAAAAAATTTGCAATATTTCTGAAATTATGACAATTTTCATAAATTATTGTATTTTAAATAAATATAGTAACTTAATAATTACAATATTTTAATAATTAATAATAAAAGTAACAAATTGTTTATAACTTAACCTAACCCGATTTGATCTAGCTGAGATATGCACCATGCCCACACATTATAAGGGATTATCATATTCGAAGTTCAATTGGGTATCAAACTTTTGGAGTTCAATGATGGCTTTAGCGGATAGAACCCAAGTTAAACAACCCCTAATAAGCTCAACTTAGAAGTCATATGCATATATGGTAAATATTATTATATAATTTTTAAATAACAAATTTTATATTAATATATATAGAAATGTTATATATTTTTTATACTAGACTAAAATTAAATAAAAATTTTAACTTGTAAAAAACCATAGTTTTATAATTAACACAAGCCTCTTTATCAACAGAAAATGTGCAAGCCTGAGCCCGAGTCTGGCCCGACCATCGGGCCTAGATCTTAAGCCCGAGCCTAGCACTTATATAATGTCCGAAGCTCGAGCCTGAGCCCAAAACCCGATCCATACACAGAATGTCTTATTTTTAGTATACTTTTATAAACTAATATTATAATAATTTAGTAATAATTTAATAAATTAATAGACTAATTTATATTTCTTAATAGTAAATTGATATTTATTAATAATTTAAGAAGCATATATATATACATATATTAATTATATATAACATAAGTACTTTTTTATATATGTAATAGTATCGGGTTGGGCTTGGGCCTGGGCCAAGCTTATTTGAGAAAGCCCGAGCTCGAGCCCATGGGCCTGAAATTTTGTCCAAGCCTGAAAAATAATAGATCGGGCTAGGTCGGGATGTTGGGTTATCTGGCTCATGAATAGGTATAATTGTATATATACACAATTGTATACATCAAAAATCATATGAAATAAAAATTTAAACATCTTTTTCAATTTTTTTTAAATGAACCTCTCATAGCTTGGCCTAATCTGCGGCCTGGCCTGGCCTAGCCTAAGGCTCGACCCATGGACCAGCCCAGACCACGACATAGCACGGGCCCATGCGGGCTCGGGTCTTGTCAACCGACTTAGCACGGCCCAATTTACACCTCTACTTGAACCCGCCAAATACTAGGGATGGGGCAAGGGAATTCGAGGGGGTGCCTTGCTCCTGAACTTGCCAAACATTGAGGAGTGGCTGCTTTACCTTGAACCCGCCTGACATTGGGGACAGGGCGGGGATGGGGTAGAGTGTTTTAACTATGGGGCAGGGACAGGGATGGAGTGCCCTACCCTAAACATAATTATTAATTATTAATTATTAGTAATTAATAAAAATGTTACTATATAATTATTAATTATTTGTAAAATTAATAAAAATGTTAGCTTTTGTAATTATTTTTATTTATTTAAATTTAATATAATTTTATTTAAAAATAATAATTATTATTAAAATTACTATAAATTATTAATAAAACTAAATTTATTAAAAATATTTATTCATATTAAATTAACAATAATTATTTTCTATAAATCAACAATATATAAAAAATAAAATTATTAAAATTTTAGATATTAACAATTAATAAACAATAAATTTTGATTATTAAGTTAATATTAATTAATAATAAATAAAATTATTAAATCTTTCAAATTTTTCCGTACATTGCACGGGTCCCCGACTCCCCGCTAGTTGAAAAATAAGTAAAAGTGGTTTAATTTTTTTTTTTTCATTTTCAGAGGCAGCATACTGTTAATGGTCAGTGGACATTGCTCCAAACAATGGAGGCGCAGAATCTTAATGGTGAGGTCAGTGAAACATGTAATAATAAAAAAAATGTGAGCACAGGTTTCCAGTAGAGATTTTTTAATGATTTTTATTTCACATTCCTTGATTATAAATAAAATTTCAGAAGTGCCTTCATGAACATTTTTCCCCGTTTTTTCTATTTTGAATCAAGTGAATGATTCTCATGTGAGGTGTACTCATGACCTATTCAATCGGAATGATAACTTACAAGTATAGAGACGAGCTGTTGCAGATGTGTGGCTTCAAGTGTTGCAGGGTTGGTGTGAGGAGCAAATCTAAGTGCATGTATTCACATCTGTGGACCTTCATCCATGTTTTATGTTTATTAACTTTTGGCCCCTCTCAATACAAAAGCTCAACCCAACATCGTGTGCGAATGATATCCAGTTTGGGTAATGTATGAATATGCGCTCCATTATTGTCTTTGAGTGGGAACCCATCCCCATTCCTGAACGTATACAGAAATGATGGATCTTTATGTATTTTCATGACACATTCATTCATGGACTCCAACGGAGTGAGCTCTGACCCACTAAAGGGTGTTATTTCTATATTGTATATGGTTCATGCATGATGATTATCAATAAGCAATTTTATATCATGATGTAAGCATGACATACTATCCGAGTCCCATTAAAACTGATTACAAAGTTCCAATTAATTAATTTTTCTTTAATTTTTATCATCTTTTTGCTGTCATTTTAAACACAAGTCAAATGTGGATTAAATCCAAATCCAATCTGAACATCTGATTGGATGCAGATGTATCTGAATCCGATCTGAATAGGACCTATATGAGATGTGTCTCATCATGCACTAATATAACTTGAATCATAATGCATCCCTATACGTGATAACGACCATACGATCAAGAGTGAACAGTAATTGTTTGGGTCATGGTCGAGTTGGCTTTGGATGCCACGTGGCCGCTCAATCGTCTCGGTCATGTCAGCGTTGCGTCACCACCTCTATGACCTACCTCGACTCTGCAGCTACGACAGCGCCATGCTATCTCCATGATCCCCACCTTATCCCCCAGTCACATCGACTCCATGTTATGCGGATAAGTACGACCAAGATAGGAGAGCGGATGGGGACCATGCCATTAAAGATCAGGTCTCATCCCAAAGACCTCGGCGGATAACATCATCCCGACAATCTTGAAAGCCTAATCTGATCAAGACATGAACCTTCGGCTATAAAAAGGTACTTCCCACTCAAGATAAGGGATTTCGACTTTTAGCCCTCATACCATTATACTGTTCGAACTAGCATTGTTCTCCAACTGCTCCACCCGATTCCCTATTGCCCTCTACTGACTTGAGCATCGAAATATCTACCTAGGGATAATTCCTCGAGTCTCTAACATCTTCTTGTTCGTAAATCTCATTACACGACTCCATCCTTTCACTTCAGCTCCGCCCAACTGGCAAGAACCATCTGACTGTGACTTCGATTCTTACACTACCTTAGATCGAATATTTTGTTTTATTTGGTTATGTGCATCATCTTTTCATGTACAAACTTTACGCACTAATTCAAAGTTGAACAAATCTGCATAAATGAATGAATTTGCCTTTGGAGGTAAAAAGAAAAAGGTGTAGAGAGATTAGGTACTCAGTAGTCAGTAGATACTGATGCATCTTGTGTCTTGTACAAAAGCATTTGCCATTTGAAAGATTAGGTATGATTCCAAACCATACCACTCTGTTTTTGAGAATCAATAACCCAACACTCCTCACCAATGAATGATTTTCACCATGTTGACAAAGTCCCTGTCTATGAACTATGATGATGATCTTCCTTCTAATAAAAGCTTATTCTAAAAAAATGAATTGATTAATGGTCCCAAGAATTTTCAACGTGACAGTTATTCCTATTGAAGGGTGTGTCTGATTAATCAGAGCGTAGGAAAGATAACAAGTTATTGATTTGATCCAGACCATCATTCATTTTTGGTACCAAAAAAAATATCTAGTTTTACACGTTGGACTATTACCGTTCACGTGGCTGATTCATTAAGCATCGAAACGACAAAACTCGCCCGTCAGACGTCAGTGATGGGGCTACATTCCAAGTTCATCTTCTCGATCATTTGCGGGTTATTACTAGACATGTACTGTGTTGCTCTGTTTTCGCTTTCATGGAATGTGTACGCCAAGATTAGAATCTTTCTTCTTTTTTATTTTGGAGGGTCATCCCCGATACTTGAACAATTGAACCCCTCCTTTGTCCGTTTTTATGACGGTCCGGATTAGCTAAAGACAAGAATTTACAAAGCGATTGGGCATCAATCGCCCACGTCTCCTGTTCGGACTGTGGAATTAATGATGAAGTTCGACACCACTAATAAAGTCATGGGCGTATTGTACAAGATGCGGGTTCTAGCATGAAACCTTACCATTAGTTTGAGAGCCCGTTGAATAGCTAAACCTCACTCTCAGGTTAGAAATATCTCCTCATTCTATTCTATCAACAGATTTTCCACTTTTACCAATTTCAGACTTCCCAATATTTCTTCTGTTCTTCTGTTCCTGTCCATGGCCAACTTCTCTCCGTTCTTCTGTTTTGTTTTTGCTGCATTTGCTCTCATCAATATTTCTTCTGCACATGGTGTCAAGGTTTACGAAATTAAGAAAGGAAATTTCTCTGTAAAGCTTACTAATTGGGGTGCAACCATACTCTCCGTTGTTGTTCCTGACAAAAATGGTGTGGTTATTTTCTCCTTCATTTCTTTTCTTTTCTGTAATGTGTTTTAATAATTAACGTGGCCAATTTCCTTTGGTCTTCTTGTTGATTGTTTTTCATCTTACCTCAACCTCGTTTCTTCTTCTTCTTTTATTATTTCAGGTAAATTGGATGATATTGTTCTGGGTTATGACACCCTTGAAGCATATAAGGTGAGGTTTGTAGTTTTCCATTCCTGTCCTCGATCCTCTCCTTCTTCCTCACCATAAGTGAGAGGATGGGGCTTTGCTGATTATTGGGTATAGCAGAAGATTTTATATATTGAGTACTGCGACAACTTTCATTTTTTTTATTTCATATTCCATCTAAAGTTTGTTGTGGTTGCAGAACGATACATCCTACTTTGGAGCGATAGTAGGACGGGTGGCTAACAGAATTGGAAGAGCTCAATTTACTTTAAACGGAACCACCTACAAATTGGTGGCTAACGAAGGGAAGAACACGCTTCATGGTACGCTCTAATGCAGTTACTCTCTCTCTCTCTCTCTGCAATGGCCGCATGGTTGGAAATCTGTAAGACTGTAACACGTATTGTTTGGTTGTGGAATTTTTAGGTGGAGTAAGGGGTTTCAGCGACGTGCTGTGGAAAGTGATAAGATATGTACCAGAAGGTCATTCTCCTCACGTCACCTTCGTCTATCGCAGCCCCGATGGTGATCAAGGTTTGGCCAATTTTCTTACCTAAATTTATTTTTCTTTGCCATTATCTTTGTTAATTTCTGAATTTTCCATTGGTCGGGTCAATGTCAAGGGCCAAAATTACAGCATTCATGGATGCATAACAAATGAATTGGGCCGGCTAACGGTGTAAGGGTGTGTCAGTACTTAGTACTCAGTAGATGTGGTTCGGTTCCGACCGATCGAGTTCCGACGACTTCCCCCATGGCCTAAACATTGGAGCTGACTGATATAAGCGAAAACAATGTTGGGCCAGGCCCCACACCACCCATTAGAGGCATAGACTGATAGGCATTAATAATGACATGGACGGACGGTCGTCCTCCTCTTGCCATGTCAGTATCATAGACATGCGGTTGTCTGAAATAAATAATAATAATAGTAAGACCTCTTTTGGTTCGTGAGAATAGATATGGGTTTGGAATCAGAATTGGAATCCTATTTCTGTTCCTGCTGATTTGAGGAAATGGCGGAATGAAATTTCCTGTTGATCCTAATTCTCATTTTCATTTTTATTTAAATTAAATAAATTATAAGAATAGACCATTCCGCTTCCAATCATAAAGGATTTGGATTCTAATTCCAATCCTGACTATAAACCAAACGAACCCTAATAATCGTTAATTGATCATGCTAATTACACCCAAGCTAACTAGCCAACAGCCAACCAACCCACCGGCTCACCTGTTTCTGATGAAAAACATTGTTCAGGCTTTCCGGGAAATCTCCTGACTACCGTTAGCTACACGATCGACGGAGAAGAAACTTTGAGCGTGACCATGACGGCCAAGGCTATGGACAAGGCCACCCCTGTGAACCTGGCCCAACACACCTACTGGAACCTGGGTGGTCACAAAAGCGGCGACATCTTATCGGAGACAGTCCAAATCTTCGGCTCCCAAATCACACTCCTTGATTCCCAACTCATCCCCACCGGCAAGATTGCCCCGGTGAAGGGCACACCCTACGATTTCATGCAGCCACGAACCGTAGGGAGCAGGATCAAGCAGCTGTCAAACGGGTACGACATCAATTACGTGCTCGACGTCGACGAGGTCGGTGATGACCAGTTGAAGAAGGCAGCCACAGTGTACGATAGCAGATCGGGTCGGATGATGGAGCTCCGTACAAGTGCACCGGGTGTGCAGTTTTACACCGCCAACAACTTGAAGGACACCAAGGGAAAGGATGGGGCCGTTTACAAGGCTCATGCTGGGCTTTGTTTGGAGACAGGGGGTTTCCCCGACTCAGTCAATCACCCCAACTTCCCTTCCACGATTGTCGTTCCTGGCAAGTTGTACCAACATTTGATGCTCTACACTTTCACTACCACCAAGTAATATGTAATTAATTACTAATTACTACTGCTGCAGCACCCAGTCGACTTTTCAATATCTTCTTCTTCTTCTTCTTCTTCTTCTTCTTCTACTTTTCTTTGGGTCATCCCTTTTGACTTTAGTTACGTTGTAATGACTGTAACTAATGGACATCCTATCATGAAACTAGTGTTCAAAAGTCGGGTCCATTAAGATAATCAATTATATATGCTTGAACGAGTGGTCAAGATCTGGCCTGTTTAGTGTTCACACACATTATCCAGCAGAGAGATCGAGAAGAGAATTACTTGGATCATCAATCCATCATCTCAATCTCAAGTTCTGAACTCGTTGCACTGATTTTTAACTCTACCCACAAATTCAAGGGTACGGTTCATAAAATGGGCTACAGTCAAATGTCTGTGTAGACCATACAAATATCAACTACAGTCAAATGATGTAAATACTTGTCACGCACTAACCCATTTAAAGCTGAATATCGTACTCGAGCATCACTATGGTGGAGTAAAGCTCAAAAGCTACTCCACCATAAAGGGTATTCCAACTGATCTTCTATATATAGGTAATTTATGATGGAACCCGTATGGATGTTTATTTTGATCTTGAGTTTCAACCATCAAAAGGTGGTATTCTTTCTACTTTGCATTTATGATTTCAAGTAATATCAAATTTAATCCCAATGGAACATGAAATCTTTGTGACCACATTATACAAATAACACCATCTTCAAGTATTTTCAGGTTTATTTGGAAGAGAAATAACATGGGCACTTGCATCGGCATATCATACCTTTCTCAACAAAAAGCCAATGTTCCTCTACCTCATCTTTTAACTTTTTAAGTACAGCAAACTAAATTGCCATTCAGGTATCAAGTTTTTACATGGAAGGCTCTATGGGGAGGAATTCCCAGTAGAAGCAAATTGAGATCATGGAATGAAAAGTTATTTTGCAATCAGGAACTGTTTTTTAAGTAACTTGGTATAAATCCTAATATAGTGAATAGTGAACAACAACTCATTTTGGATTGGCTTCAGTCGCTTGAACAATCTTTTAATGCACACCTCAAATTATGCTTTTTCTCCAAATTCCGGATACTCTTATATATGATCTAGGAGGCATGCAACGAGAAGGTTCACTGATGGATCTTATAATCAATGCAACAAGAAGGTTCACTGATGGCTTCAGTCGCTTGAACAATCTCTCTTTGGCGAACAAAACAAATGAAATAATTGCTGACTCAAATCTCTCCCTCTAGCATCATAAATTGAATGCATTATCTCTATGCCCAACAATTGAAAATCATTATCTTTTATTCACTGGTGGATCTTATAATCAATGCATAGTGTTGAGAAAATTTAGGTAAGGGTGTTTTTAGTCTTTACCTCTTCTCTTTGTATTCTTTTTGTATTTGGGCGCCCAAGTAGGGACTTCTTTGTAATTTCTTGTTTCAAAACATAAAATGCTTTTTGAGGGTGTGAACAATAACAAGAATACACCATTCAACACATTCCTCTCTTCTTCTCCTTTCTCTCTTTTTTTCTTCCTTTCTCATACAAACCCTAAATTTACAATACTAGTTGACAATTGGTATCAGAGTAAGGTTAAGGTACTTGGGAGTACCTTTCTTGCTGACTCTCTTGCATGAGATGAACTACTGATGTCAAATCGCCACCAAATGATGTCAGCAGTCCGTATAGGTGTCGGCGACAATACATGAACCATATATGGTTTAATTCGCCTTGATTTTAGAAGATTTTTGGTATGGCTCTTGTCTTCGTTTAAAGCTTCTATGAGTTTTAATAGATTTTTCAAGAAGAAAATTGCAAAAAATCTATATCTGATGTCGAGCCTTATACACTTTGTTTAATCAGTTTTTCGACTGTAAAACCTAAACCATTCAGGTTGTGTTTTTTAGCTTGAGAGCAACGGGAAGTGGTCCCTTATTTTTCTAAGCCCTAGACAAATTTTGGGAGATTTTCTTCTCCATCTATATATTATATATTATTGTAAAAAAAAAATCAATTATCTAGAAGAAATTTCAATTGATTTGTGGACATGGTAGATCATCAATAGATCTACAACATAATCAATTTTTAGAGGTAGATCACAAGAAAAACCTAAAATTTTCATTTCTTTCATTTTTTTTACTATTCTGGAATTTCTTCAAATATTCACAAAAATCTACATATATGAGGAACATAAGTGGGAATTTTTGCACAAGAATAGCATATCAACATACACAAAGATGTTGGATCTTGCAAATTTGTGGATGTCTTGGTGGATTTTAGCTAGATTTCAATATCTAGGAATAGTATGAAGGTTTCTAGAGGGTTTGGGGAAAAAAGAGGGCTTCTGATATGGGTTTAAAAGCCCTCTTTCGAATGAAGTTTTTTTTTTTTTTGTTTTCCGCAACAATAAAATCGCATTGTATCGACGTATTGGCCGATACAGCACCAAAACTGGCCGATACTCACCGAAACATAAATGATACGGGTACAATATGCTTCCGACATGATGAAAAGGAACAATACTAAGGATTTGGTACCGTTCCCCATGCCGAAACTTCAAAGATACAATACACATCAACCGATACGTAATGAAATTTTGAACATTGCTTCTACGAAACATTTTTACAAAAGTAATTTTACGAAAACACTTTTATAAAAACACTTATATGAAAGTACTTTTATCAAAGCACCTTTAAGAAAGTGCTTTTTCAATGCCAAAAGGGTATATTTTTGTAATTTTCAGATTTTTTTCATTTTAATATATTTTTGTAATTTTTTATATGTTAAATTTTTTTTATATAATTTTTTATATTTCATTCAGTTTGGATTGGACCCAATTCCAATCCATTTACATTTTAATAGATTGGATTGGATTTGGACTGGATTGGGTACAATCCATTTGTAAGTAGACTCACATTGAACTGGATCGGGTTGCACAAAATCCAATCCAATTGACACCTCTAATTTAGACTTTAGAGACTTAAAAATCCATCTATATACCCAAAACTAAAAACGTACAAGCTCATCTTTTGACCTATTATGCTTCTAAATATCAAAGGCACTCTACTATGGACATTCCGACTTGTACAACTTTTTTTTTAAGATAATATATTATCATCTTTTGCTTGAAAAAAAAACTATTGTCCCAACTCCTAAATAACATTGAATTTCGGTCTAACGTATGCATGGTTTTTAAAACTGACCCAGTGATTGAACCGATCAGGGGTTCGGTTACCAGGTTGAACGGTCCGACCATTCGAACCGAACGCTCGACCCGTTCTGACAAAAAATAAAAAATAAAATAAAAACGGTCAAAACTGTTCAAACGGTTCGAATGATTAACTGCTTGGTTCAACGGTTTGCTGACCAAAATTAATAATTTTGGAGGAAAATCCAGTTTTTGGGGAAAACGGAACTGGTCACCTGACCGATTCTCAGTTTTTCCAGTCCAACCGTCCAGTCCGATCCGGTTTTGAAAACCATGAACGTACGTATCATGGATGGTGTTATTTTCTCATTGATAATTTTGGCAGGTTTTAGATTTAAACATTATTTTCTTTAAGGAATCCCATAAATTAAAATCGAAATCTGATACCCTGTAGGAGAAAACATAATTCGGATAAACTTTGGAAATTTTGTATATTAATCATTCCAGACTAGAAATTTTTAGGGTGAAATTCAGGTTAGTCTGAGTTAACATTTTATTGTTTCGGATTTGGGCTTTGCGTCAGGTTCATTCAAATTTTAACAAAAATCCAATCCAAGCTTGTCCAAGTTGTACCCCTATAAAATTTGCCAAAAGTATAACAAATTTTGGAGATAAGATTTTGGTTTTCCAGATAACAAATAATATAACAAATGTCCTCTGTATTTCTAATAATGATGACATGTAGTTATGTTTCTGATCAGGCATTATAAACCCTATACAAACAACTTTCCCTGAAAAATAAATGTCGATATTCTTTAACAACTTTCCTTTAGTTTACATCTCACTACAACCAGGACGATCCCCTTCTCCATCCAACATATCCGATCTTCCATCCATCAAGTTTCTGTTAAAGAAGCTGAAACAATATGGTTGAAAGTCCACCGGTTATTTGACCATCCAATCCAAACATGCTCGGACAACTGTGGCCTATAAGCAAAGTTGCTCATATCTTCAATCCGGATTTGTTCTTCATAGCTAGACCTGTTCATGGCCAGGTCAGGCCGGGCTTTGCATCTTTATAAATAGAAAATCATTAGGCCCAAGTCCAAGCCTGGCCCAACTGTTGGGCTTAGATCTTGAGTCCAAGTCCAACCCTATACAAAGCCTGAAGCCCAGGCCTGAGCCTAAAGCCTGACTTTGACATGTATTTTATAATATATTAATTATATATTATATATTATATATTATATAATATTTTATACATTTAATATATAAATTTTTTTTCTTATTCATTTTATTATTATATAATTATATAATATATTATATATTATTAGGACATATATTATATTTATATTATATATTTAATATTATCAGGCTGGGTTCAAGTTTGAGCCAGACTTATTTGGGAAAGCCCAAACCCAAATATGCGAGCTTAAAATTTTGTCCAAACCCAACTTAGGACAGATCAGACTGGACCAATCCATTAGGCTATTCGACCCATGAACAGGTCTATTCATAGCACTTGCAGCTGCACATCAGAAACATCTCCCAACATTCTTATATATTGTTATTCGTGAAGAGATGTTTCCAATGTATAGCTGCAACGTGCTGTGTAGTTGTTTTAAAGAGTGCTTTCTCGTTCTTTGATCCTTACAAAAAAAATCCACAAATACTAGACAAAATTAGTGGTTTATACATGGTTATATCCACCCTAAAAATCAAGGAGCATTAATTACCACATTTTAAAAGACATTCACAAAGCACAAACTTTTTTCAGCCTCGGATTTTTGTCTCATGTCCCGAAACTAATGGTATGGGTCTTTTGTTTATTGGTTTGTATTTGCTTTGTGCTCATTTGGAAAGATTAATTTGAAGTCACAGATGACAGCATCTTCTTTGCATCTTGCAATTAAAACCTGCGTAAGGCTCAGTGTGGAAAGAGTACAAATATGCACAGTATAAATATATATAAAATAATATAAATCTTAAGGTTTTGTGCTCTGTATTTGTACTCTTTCTAAATTAAGCATAAAGAACAGGATATTTGGAGAGACGGGATCCCCTGAAATAAAAAATTGAGTACGCTTTCTGA